CCTTCTCATCCAAGGAACTGGAGGTAGCTGGAATGGATGCCCAAGGGACATCGAGGCAGAAATTCTCAGGGTGATTCCCCTTCCCCCAAGTCTCAGTCTCTAATTACTCTTTCTCTCTTACATGTGTGAGGCTTAAGGAAGCTGTAGAAAATCATGAAACTCTGCTGCCTGGGCCCATTGGACCTCCCTGAAGCAAGACTATCCTTCTATACCCCCTCCTTAACTGACCATCCTACTCTCCACAATCCTTCCTCAAACCCCCTCTGGCCTCTCATCTCTTCACCCTCTCACCTGGCAACTTTGCCTCATATTCACTGAAATAACTGAGGGTATGTGCTGAGAGCTCCCTCCTCCCTGCTGCTCCTCATCTCATATCCCCTAGATGCCTTCCCCATCTCTCTCCTTCATCCTATCTCATGTGACAGGAAGCCCTTCTCCTTGCCAAGGCAAACCCCTCTGCCTGAACAAGTGAATCTCATTCTATCCCATATTCTCCAGCAGTTTGCTCCCTCCATCACGCCCACTCACTTCCTCACCTTTGATCTCCCTGTCTGCTGCTGCTTCCCAGCTGCCTACAAACACACCCATGTCTCATCCTCAAAAACTCTTCACTGTCCATCCCTGCTAGCTACCATCACATATGTCTTCCCTTTGGGGGCTAAACTCAAGAAAGCCTTCTATAATTGGTATTCATTCTCTTCTCTCACTTCCTTCTTAATGCTCTGAAGGCTGACTTCTGACCTAATCTTCAACCAAAATTGGCCTCTCCAAAGTTACAATGATCTAATTGCCAAACCCAATGGTCTTTTCTCCATTCTCATCTTTCCTGACCTCTTTCCAACCTTTGACACTCTCCATCACCTTCTCCTTTCCACTCTCTTCTCTCTAGGCTTTCAGGATGCCTTTCTCTCCTGGTTCTCCTCCTCCTTGTTAGACTGTTCCTTCTCATTCTCCTTTGCTGGATCTCTGTCTGGGTCATGCCATCCAACTGGAGGTGTCCCGAAAGATTCTGCCCTGGACCTTTTCTTCTCCCTCTATACTACATCACTTGGTGATCTCATCACCTCCTATAGAACAGGGGTGGAGAAGCCTGTGGCCTCAAGGCCACATGTGGCCCTCCAGGTCCTTCGGTGCAGCTTTTGGCTGAGTCTAAGTTTTATAGAACAAATCCTTTTATTAAAGGGATTTGTTCTGTGAAGTTTGGATTCAGTTAAAGGGTTGCACTTGAGGACCTCTCCACCCCTGCTGTACAGTTATGTCTATGCTGATGATTCTCAAATGTACCTGTGCAGTCCTAATCCCTCTCCAGTCTGTCATCTCCATCTGCCTGTTAGACGTCTCAAACTGGATGTCCAATAAATGTCTTAGACTCAACATGTCTGAGATGGAACTCGTTATCTTTTCAAACCTCAAACCCTTCATTCCACCTCTCTTCCTACTCACCTATTACAGTCTAGGGTACTCTCATTCCTGGTCCCCCGGGCTCACAACGTAGGTGTTATCCTGGTCTCCTCACTAGCCCTCAACCCTCCCCATATCCAATCTGTTACTAAGGCCTGTTGATTTCATCTTTGTACCATCTCTTGAATACACCTCCTTTTGTCTTCTCTGACACTGACATGGCCTGGTGTGGACCCTCCTCACTTCATGCCTGGACTATTGCAATAGCTGCTGGTGGATTTGCCTGCCTCTAGCCTCTCTCCACTTCACTCCATCCTCCATTCAGTCACCAAAGTGATTTTCCTAAAACACAGATCTGACTATACCATGCCCATACTCAATAAGCTTCAGTGGCCCTCTACTGCATCTTGGATCAAATACAAAATCCTCTGGCATCCAAAGCCCTGAATAACCTGGCCCCACACACACCTTACTCCTCTGTCCAGTGGCATTGGCCTCCTGGCTGTTCCTCAAATAAAACCCTCCATCTCTTGCACCAGACATTCTCTTTGGCTGTCCCCCATGCCAGGAATGCTCTTCCTCTTCATCTCTGCCTCCTGGCTATCCTAACTGCCTTCAGATCCTAGCTAAAATCCCACCTTCTACAAGAAATCTCTCCAGATAAGCCTGACTTCTAGTACAAGTAGGAGATGATGTGGGGGATAGAGACCTGACCCCTGGAATTGGGAATCTTTGACTTCAAACTTAGTCTCATTTCCTGTGTCACCTGGAGCAAATCACTTAACCTATATATTTACTTCCAATTCTTCATCTGTAAATGGGTGTAACAGTACATACCTCCCAGGATGTGGGGGAGGAGCAAATGGAGATATATTTGTAAAGACCCTGGCAAATTGCCAGTGATATATAAATGCCCACTGTCATTATTGGTGCTTTTCCTCTGCTGATAATTTCCAATTTCTCCTAAGTTTATTTGTACATAAGTGTTTTCCTCCCTTCAACCCTCATTAGCTAGGCGCTCTTCCAGGGCTGGGAGTGTACCCAGGGTTTAGGTCAGTGCCTGGCACATATTAGATGCTTCATAAATGCATGCTAGCTGTTTTCGCATTTTTGTTTTAGAGTAACATAGGCATGAAGGGGTGTCCTCACTGGGGTTGGACACCGAACTCGGGAGCTCCTGTACCTGGCCCTGTCCTACTGGACAGAAGAAGGCCCAGCCAGATTTAGCTCCGTGCCTTCCCACGACTTCAAGCTCAGGGCCCAGAAAGAATAAGTGATGTTAAAGTTCAGAGATTAAGACTCAGAGGATGTGAGGAGAACCTTCAGGACACTTGGGACAATTGACGTCGTGCAAATGACTCCTTTAAGTCCCAAAAGCTTAGCAGAGAGCCTGCCAAGTAGCAAGAACTCTACAAATACTTACTGTTTCAAGAAATGCTTCCTCCTTCAGAAAAATGAAGAAGCGAGGGAGGAAATAAAATAAAAACACTTCAACGGCCGAGCCAGCCAGGAGTCGAACCTGGAATCTTCTGATCCGTAGTAGACGCGTTCTCCATGCGCCACTGGCCCGATGTTCTGCTGAGTGGTCATGAGGGGGCTGCTGAATGCAAAGTCTGGGCCTTTGGGCCCACTGGTTCTGCCGCCCTACACCCGAGGCCACGCCCCGCAGAAAGCAGAGTCAGCACCGCGATCAGGGCCACGCGCCTAGGCCCAGCCTCTTGTTCCCCTCAAACTCTCTCTAGGTCCTGGATTCCGATACCGAGGCTCCCCGTCCAATCCACCATCCTGCTCAGAGGACGCAGGACCGGAATCGCCTGGATCTGGACCCCGGCCCTGGACGACTCTAACCCTGACCCTAACCCTAACCCATCCCCCCCCTCCTTAACAGACTCAGCTGGGGCTCTCACGGGCCGCTGGACGACGCCGGGGCTCCCTTGGATCAGGACTCTCATGGGTCCTGCCTAGCCTCTGGCTCCCTGACTCCAAGCCCACACCCAGCTAGAGGATTATCCACCGCGAAGCCTAGGCCAGACCCAGAAAGGAAGAGGGTATCCGTACAGGAAGGGCCCCAGCCTCCGCCGGGTAGCCAACTCCGCTGGAGCCCACAGGGTCTGTTTCCCCTGCGGGCATGGCCCCCCCTCCGAGGCCGGGAGCCGGCCCATGGACCACGGGTGACCCAAACAACTCCCAGGCGAGCTTACCTCCTTGGAACACCAACAGAACCGGCTCCTGCCGCGGGGCCAAGGCTCAGTTGTTTACGGAGCGTCCCCATTTAGGGTTTTCTTGGCCAAGATACTGGAGTGGTGTGCCGTTTCTCCAGCCTCCAGGCCCTACATTCTAACCTCTGCTCGCATTAGACATCCCGGAGGGCCTCCGACAGGAGGAGGTGGTAGTTGGAGGGACTTCCCTCCTCTCCTACAGCGCGCGTTTAGGGAGCCTTCCCGGATCTGTCCACCACCGTGCAGACCTGAGCCCCAAGAGAGCCCAGAAGGCCATCCACGGCCAGACAGGTCGTTCTGGGGGTGCTGAGGGACCACGCCAGCCCCCTTCCCACTCATTGCTTCGGGGACTCTTCTTTCTTTGGGGCTCATTTATTCGATTTCGATTTCGGTTCTGACGCTTTAAAATTCCCTCTCCCCTCACCCACCCCACCCACCCCCCAGCCAGGACCACTGAGCCGGAGACGCCGTGGGTCCGACACGCCTCCTCCTCTTCTCTAGGACTCCTGGGCTCACTGTCTTTTTCTCGTCCCCTTTCCCCTCTGTTTCTATCTTGTGTCTCCTTTGCAAGCTCTTGTCCCCTCATCCCCAGCACTTAGTAAGCGCCCACTGTGTGCCAAGCCCCGGACTGGGAGCAGACACAAGCCTGGCCTCCCGGAACTTCTCTTCTGTCTGAGGAGAGGCTTACAGCGTGAGAAGTACATCCTTAGTGGGCCCAGAGCGAGGACAAAGCCACCACGGCGGGAGGTGGCAGGACAGGAGCTCGGGGGACTCGGGGAGCCTCGAGCGGGGCGTGCTCGGGAGGCCGAGGACAAGACAGAGGGCCTGGGAAGGGAAAAGGCTGTCAGTTGTCAGGATGGCCGAGTGGTCTAAGGCGTCGGACTCAAGCGTAAGCTTCCACTGTGTTGGGGAGCCTTCTGGTCTCCATCTGGGGGCGTGGGTTCGAATCCCACTCCTGACAGCTCTGCTTTTGGCGCGGGGCCTGCCACGGCGTACCGGCCCTCTCGCTGGGGTAGGGCGGCCTCTCTTCCCTTCCTGCTACGGCTAGCCCCAAGCCACCCTCAGTGCGCTGGGGCGGCGGCTCGCTGTTCCCAGCCCTTCGCCGCGGGATCCTCGGCCGTGCGCCCCCCAGGCCTGAGGCGGGGTCTCCCTGCACGGCTCCGCCGAACCTCCTCCTGGCTCCGAGGTGGCTGCAGCCACTTCCACTTCCTCCTCCCAAGCCCCAGCCTAGGGGTCCTCCAACGGTCCTACAGGGTATGAGTTCGGGCGCCGATGCACACCTACTTCGGCAAAGCTAACTTTGACGTCATCTAGAGCACCAATGGGCGCCAGTTGTCGCCTCTGTTGCCGTGAGGACGAGCGACCCAACCCAGTAAACTCAAACCCGGGAGGGTTGTGAATCTTATCCGTGGGGCAGCCCGCGCCTTGGGGACTTCCTGGGAGCTCCAGGGACTGGGGTCCGAGGCAGAAGCAGCCGCTTTTGGTCCCCCACAGCGCATCACTGTGGGTGATGGTGAACGGGTCAGTCTCGGGCTGGGTGACACGGGCGGTGTGGCGGCGAAAAGAGTGGGGTGAGCAGCCCCTCCTCCCCGAAGGAAGGAAGGAAGGAAGGAAGGAAGGAAGGAAGGAAGGAAGGAAGGAAAAGGAAAAGGAAAGAGAAAGAAAAGAAAAGAAAGAAAAAAAGAGACAGACTTGATACTGTCCTGGGGCTCCTTCTCCATGTTCTAAATACTGGGTCCGGGGGTTAGTCACTATCCTTGACTCTTTGCTGTTGTTACGGCGCATTTAGAGTTAGGCTCTGCCCCTCTCCCTCCACATTAGTTCGAAGTGGGTTTCGTTCAAGAGACTCTTCCCCTCACCCCTTCCTCATTTGTATAGATTTCTGTTTACATCCCCCCCAATTATAGGAGATAACGCCTCCCCAATTTTACCTCAACCCCAAGCGCTCCGTCAAGTTAGGGTCCTTCTCTGACCTCTGCTGACACCACTGTTCTTTGCGGGGGGGGGGGGTACTTGAAGCCACCTCTCTGCCTCATTAGAATGCAACACTTTATCCCCGTAAAGTCTTTCCAGTTGCTCGCTCTTATTGACCTTGGGCTCTTTAATCCCGCTTGTATTTCAAAGTTTCTCCACAATTCCAGTCTTTGAATTACGGCTGCTTGAAAGTCTCTAATTTCATTAAAAGTCCACTTGCTACCCCTACCCCAATGTAGGGTTATACTCCGTTTGAGTTTAAGGCCTATCTTTTGCCTTTTGGAATACCGTATTCCAGCTTCCCAGGCCGCTCCTTTATGACGGTGACCGCTAAGTCTTGTGTGATCTGACTGTGGCTCCTGGGGACTTAAATTCCTTTTAAGAGAATTAGCTTTTATTAAGCACCTACTGGGTGTCAGGCACTTTCTAAATATTATCTCATTTGATCCTCAAAACAACCCTGGGAGTACATGCTGTTATTATCCCATTTTCCAAATGAGGAAATGAGGCAGAAAGGTAAAGTGACCTGCCTAGGGTCTCTCATCCAGTGTTCCGGGTCAAATTTGAACAGAGGTCTTCCTGACTTCAGGGCTGGCTCAGCTGTTTGAAGTACTTTCTCTTTCCCCAGCAAGCTCTAGATTTTGTCTGTAATGTTCCTGTGTATTTTCATTTTGATTATTCTATCTTTTTCTCTTCTAATATTTTTTATTTATTTTGTTAAATTACATGCAAAAAAATTAACATTCGTTTTAAAAAATTTTTGAGTTCTAAATTCTCTCCTTCCTTCCTTTCCCTTCTCCGTAGAGAAGGAAAACAACATGATATTAATCATTCCTGCAGCAAAACACATTTCAGTATTAGCCTTGTTACAAAAACAACAACAACAATACATACACACACACACACACACACACACACACACACACACAAACAAGAAAACAAAGCTGATCTTTTTTTTTTAAGTATATACTTCAATCTGCACTCAGAGTTCCTCAATTCTCTCTCTGGAGGTGAGCAGCATTTTTCATCAGGTGTCCCTTAAAATTATCTTGGCTCATTGCCTTGATCAGAGTGGCTAATTGACATAAGATTGCTGTTACTGTGTACAATGTTCTCCTGGTTCTGCTCACTTCACTTTACATCAGCTCATATAGTTCTTCCCAGGTTTTTCTGAACCCATTCCCCTCCTTATTTCTTATAGCACAATCACTCCATCACAATCACATACCACAACTTGTTAAACCATTCCCCAATCGATGGTCATACTCTCAATTTCCATTTATTTTGCCACCAGGAAAAGAGCTGCATAAATATTTTTGCAAATGTGAGCCCTTTTCCTTTTCCTTTGATCTCTTTTAGGGATAGACCTAGTAGTGGTATTGCTGGGTCATATATGCATACATATATGCACAGTTTTATAGCCCTTTGGGCATAGTTCCAAGTGACTCCAGAATGGCTGGACCAGTTTCCAACTCCAACAACAGTGCATTACTGACCCAATTTTTCCACATCCCCTATAGTATTTATCATTTCTCTTTTCTGTTGAGGTTTCTTTCTTCTTTAGTTAAAAAATGTTTTTGTTATTTTGAGATTAAGCTGTCTCCCTCCCCCACACTACAGGAGGCCACCATTTGACACAGATATATGAGTGTGAAACCAAACAACACATATTTCCATATATCTGTTATTTTTCTGGAGGTGAATAGCATCTTCCTTCATAAGTCCTTTGTAATTGATTATTATAACACTCAGAAAACTTAATCATTCACAGTTATTCTTCAAACATGTTACTGTATACAACATTCTCTAGGTTTTACTTATTTCATTCTTGATAATTTTATGCAAGTCTTTCCTTGTTTTTTTTTTCTTCTTCTAAAATCAACCTGCCCATCATTTCTTACAGCACAGTAGTATTCTATCATGATTGTAAAACACAACTTGTTCAGTCATTCCCCAATTGATGGGCACCCCTCAGTTTCTAGTTCTTTGCCACCACAAAGACAGCTGCTGACAAAATTTTAGAACATATAGGTTCTTTTTACTTTTTCCTGTTCACCTTGGGAAACAGACCTAATAGTGTTGTTGCTGGGTCAAAAGGAATACACAGTTTTATAACTCTTTGGGCATAATTCCAAATTGTTCTCCAAAATAGTTGAATCAGTTCACAGTTCCACCAACACTATATTAGTGTCCTAATTTTTCCACATCCCCTCCAACTTTTCATTTTCCTCTTCAATCATTTTAGCCAATCTGATAAGTGTGAAGTGGTGCCTCAGAGTTGTTTTAATTTGCATTTCTCTAATCAATAATTATTCAGAGCATTTTTTATATAATTATATGTACCTTAGATTTCTTCTTCCAAAAACTGCCTGTTCATACCTTTTTAATGGGGGAATGACTCATATTCTCTTAAATCTGACTTAGTTAACTATATATTTGAGATATGAGACCTTTATCTGAGAAACTAGCTATAAAAATTTTGTCCCAATTTTCTGCTTTGCTTCTTTGCTTGGCTACATTGGTTTTATTTGTCCAAACCCTTTTAATTTAACCAAAATTAACCATTTTAAATCTCACACTGCTCTCTATCTTTTGTTTATTCATAAAATCTTCTATCCTTAAATACGATAGGTAATAGGATCCATGTTCTTCTAATTTACTTATGATATCTCCCTTTATGTCTAGGTCATGGATCCATTTTGACCTTCTCTGGGTAAATGGTGTAAGATATTGGTCTACACCTAGTTTCTGCTAGACTGTTTTGCAATTTTCCCAACAATTTTTACCAAATAGAGAATTCTTATCACAGAAGCTAAAATCTTTACATTTATCAAACACAAGATTATTATAATAATTTACTGTGGTGTATTGTATGTCTATTCTGTTCTGCTAACCCTTTGGATTGTATGCGGTAACTGTGTGCATCAGTACCTGATAGTTCTGCTGGTACAAGATGGTCCTGGTCATACAAGGGAAATTCTCCTGAGGTCAGCTTGTTCGTGTAACAGGGAGAGATAGTTTGCCTCACTGGGCCCACTCATGAGTTATTGCCAGAAACAGGGCCCTTGGGACTGGAGGAAAACTGTCAGGGATAGTGTTTCTGAGGCCAGGGAGAAATTGGGGTCTAAGCACAGGCACCCAAGCACCCCATCATTTCTAGCTTGCTATATTCACACACACACACACACACACACACACACACACACACACACACACACACACACACACACACTGTAGCCTAGCCTGCACACAGGCTGCATGGGGGGTCAAAGTGCACAAGTGTGGTCAGAACCATGTCTATGGGGTTCCCTTTCATGTAGGATGGGCTAGTTTTTCCCTAAAACAGCAGGAAAATTGTCACCAAGTTTTCACTGGTCCAGGCACCTAGAGTTTGCACTATTGATATGGTTTCCCAGTTTCCTTGTTTGTTGTCCTGGAAACCAGGAGATGTAGATGAGGAGGCAGAGCATTCTGTTCTTGAGGGAGAGGGGAGATGGAGTGTTTCCTTGGGGGAACAGCAAGGAGGTCAATGTCAATGGATACAGAGCAGCATGGTCAGGGTGGTGGAAGTATAATAATATGGAAAAATGGAATGGTGGCTGAGGATGGGTTATGGAGGGTGGGAAGCCACATGTTTTTCTATTTGAGCCTGGTGGTGATAGAAAGCCACTGGAATTTATGGAATTGAGGAGGGACATGCTCAAACTGGCTTAAGAGACAGCTGGGGTGAAGGTGGACTAGACTGAGGAGAGACTTCTGGCAGCAGACCAACCACAGACTAATGTAATCTCCCAGGAGTGGTGACATGGAACACAGTGATCAAAGGAGAGGAAGGGGGAATGTGTGAGGGGTTTTACAAAGGCAAAATCAGCAGACCTTAGAAATAGATTGGATATGGGAAATGAGAAATAGGGGAAAGTCCTGCATTGATATCTAGGTTTGGAAGTAGAGAATTGAGAATGGTAGTACCTTGGACAGTAATATCGAGGTGTGGAAGGGGTAAGTGATTGGAGGTGAAGCTAATGAATTCAGTTTTGGACATTAAGGTGTCCACAGGACACGTATTTCTAACTGTTCAATAGACAACTGGGGATGGGAGACTGTAGGTGAGGACAGAGGTTAGGGCTAAACAAATAGATTGGAGAAACATCAGTTCAGAGATGAGAATTGAAGCCATGGGAGCTGATGAAGTCACTGAGTGAAATAATGTAGAAGGAGAAGAAAAGAAGGTTCAGGACAGACCCTGGAGGAAACCCAAAGTTAGCAGGACTTACTTGGATGAAAGTCCAGCAACAGAGGCTGAGAAGGAGCATTCAGACGGGGAGGAGGAGAAATAAGAGACAGTGATGCCATGAAAACTTACATAGAAGCAATTATCAGGTAGGTGAGGGTAACTGAGTGTCAAAGGCTGCAAGGAAGTCAAGAAGGATGACATTGTGAAGAAGCCATTAGATTTGGAAAATAAGAGATGGATAGTAGCTTTTTTAAATTAGATTTTTATTTCAGTTCAGTTCTAAATATTCTCTCTCCTCCCTCCCTCCCTCCCCCCCTCATCTTCCCTCCCCTACACAGAGAAAAACAAAACCCATTACAAATATGTATAGTAATTGAAAACAAATTTCTCCCTTAGCTATGTCCAAAAAAGTAATAAAAAGAAGGAAAGCAAAAAATATGCTTCATTCTCCACTCTGAATCCATTAGGTCTCTCTCTGGAGGTGGACAGCATATTTCACCATGAGTCCTTTGGAAGTATGGTTGGGCATTGTGTTGATCAGAGTTACTAAGTTCTTCAAAACTGATTATCTTTTAAATATTATTATTATTATTATATAAATTATTCTGCTGGTTCTACTCATTTCATGTTACGTCAGTTCATATAAGTATTTTCAAATATCTCTGAAACTATCATCGACACCATTTCTTACAATACCAAACTATCCCATCGCATTCAGTCATTCTCCAATTGATGGACATTGCCTCAGGTTTTTTTTTTTATTTTATTAATTTATTTTGAATTATCAACAATCACTTCCATATTCTTTCCAGTTAAAAATTTTCTCCCCTTTCCTCCCCACCACCTTCCCCAAGATGGCACACAACCTGATATAGGCTATACATTTACATTCCTACTAAACATTTTCACACTAGTGAAGTTGTAAGTAAAAATTACTCACTAGTGTTTTGCTTTTGATCACTGCCTCCCTCAGTCCCTCCCTCCCTTTCCCTTATCTTCCCTTTTAGCCTTAGTGCTTCTTCCCTGCCTGCTATCCCCCTCCCTTTTCTTTCCCCTTTTCCCTCCTACTGCCTATAGGGCAAGTTAAATTTCTATACCTAACTGATTATTTTATTCCCTTCTTGAGCCAAATCTGATGAGAGTAAGGTTCAAACAATGCCCACCCCCCTCCCTTCTTTCCCTCCGCTGTAATAGGATTTTGTGTCTTTTCCTGTAATGTAATTTTCTCTTGTCTACCTCCTCCTTTCTCAGTACATTTTCTAAAATTAGATTAATCCACTTACTTGGATCCATTTAACCCACTTGATTAGATTTTTTTTATCACTACATCAAAGTCAACTATTATCCACCCCTTTTATGTATACTCCTTTGCCATGGTGTAATAACAATACATTTCTCAAGAGTTGCAAGTATCATCTTTCCTTGTAGGGATGTAAACAGTCCACCCTTATTAAGAATATATTGTATCTTTGTGTCCCATTTGCCTTTTTATGTCTTTCTGAATCTTGTGCTCGAAGGTCAAATTTTTTGTTGAGCTCTGGTCTTTTTATCAGGAAGGTTTGGAAGTCCCCTATTTCATTGAATATCCATCTCCTCCCTTGAAAAATCATGCTCATTTTTGCAGGGTAGTTGCAGTTGGCTGCAATCCAAGCTCCTTTGCCTTATGGAATATCATGTTCCATGCTCTGCAGTCTTTTAATGTAGAAGCTGCAAGGTCCTGTGTAATCCTGACTGTGGTTCCATGATATTTAAATTGTTCCTTTCTGGCTGCTTGCAGCACCTTCTCTTTCATCCGATAATTTTGGAATTTTGCTATTATATTCCTTGGCATTGTCAATTTGGGATCTCTTTGAGGTGGTGAGCAGTGTATTCTTTCTATGGTTATTTTACCTTCTGGTTCTAGGACTTAAGGGCAGTTTTCCTTTATGATTTCCTGAAAGATACTGTCCAGACTCTTTTTTTTTCATCATAATTTTCAGGTAGTCCAATAATTTTTAAATTGTCTCTCCTGGGATCAATTTTCCAGGTTGGTTATTTTACCAATGAGGTATTTTAAGTTTTCTTCTATTTTTTCATTTTTTTGGTTCTGCTTGACTGATTCTTGCTCTCTCATAGAGTCATTAGTTTCCATTTGTCCAATTCTAGTTTTTAACAGATTGTTTTCTTCTGTTAGTTTTTGTACTTCCTTCTCCAATTGGCCAATTGTGTTTTTAAGGGATTTGTTTTCTTCAGTGTACTTTTTCCAATTGGCCAATTGTATTTTTTAAGGACTTTTCTACCTCTCTCATTAGACTTTTAAATCCTTCTTGAGCTCTTCTAAGAAGGTTTTTTGGGCTTCAGACCAGTTCATATTCCCTTTTGATGTTGCAGATGTGGATTTCTTGACAATGTTGTCCTCTTCAGAATTTCTGTCTTGATCTTCACTCTTCTCATAATATGAATCTATGGTATGTTTCTTTTTACTCATGGTGTTTCTTTATTCCCTGGCCATTAAAGGGATTGAGCTCCCCTGTTGAGGAACAGAGGGCACTGACCCAAGCTTCTTGTGTTGGGAGCCTAGGTCTTGGTCACTGGCTTTGTGTGCTATGGCCTCGTATGTTGGCGATTGGAAGCTGTAGGGTTCTGGCAGCTTTACCTGGGCTGGAATCAGCAAGACTGGAACTTCCAGGCAATTCTAGCTTGCCTGCTTTTCCTTTAGCTTTCTTATGCTCCTTTTAGACGGGTGCTGCAGGGTGTCTATCTTCCTGAGGCCCCTTGCAGTGCTACCTCCCTCCTTTCTGCTAATGCACTGGGATATTTCTTTGCAGTACAGTACTGAGGTACCTGGTGGTTTTCTGAGCTGGTTTCCACCAGTTTCCCTGCCCTTGCTAAGGCACTTGGAGGTCCAGGTGTTGGTATTTGCCTGCTCTACTACCTGGGCTTCAGGATCTTCTCCTGGTTGACAGTTGGAAGCTGTAGGATTCTGACAGCTTGCATGGTGTTGGGTTGGAATCAGCAAGGCTGGGACTTTAGGAAGACCCTAGGTTGCTTTCTTCAGCTCCTTTCCTATGAATGCTGCAGGGTGCTTATCAGCCTGGGGCCCTTTGTTACTGCTTCCCTTATTTTTGCTGAGGCACCAGGAGGTTTGCTGGGCGGCTACACTACTGTTCCCCATCTTTCTTCTAGTTCAGCTGTTCCAGGGTTTTTTTTTCTGGGGTGATATTTTCTGGGTTTCCAGAGGTTGATAGGGGAGAGTGACAGCAACTACCATCTCCTCAGTTTCTAATACTCTGACACCACAAAAAGAGCTAGTATAAATATTTTTGCACATATGCATCCTTTTCTTCTGTCTTTCATCTCTTTGGGGTATAAACCTAGTAGCAGTATCTCTGGATCAAAGAATGTGCACCTAATAGCTTTTCTGGCATAGTTTCAACATGCTTACCAGAATGGCTGAACTAGTTCAGGGTTCCACCAATACTATATTAGTGCACCTATGTTCCCACATCCCCTCCAACACTTTTCATTTTCCTTTTCTACATCTTAGCCAAGCTGATGGGTATGTTAGAGTTAGTTTCATTTGCATTTTTCTAATTACTAGTGATTTAGAGATTTTTTTTTCCATTTGTCTGTTGATAGCTTTGATTTCTTCCTCTGAAAATTGCCTATTCATATTCTTTGACCATTTGTCCATTGAGGAATTTCTTCTATTCTTGTGATTTTGACCCTGTTCCTTATATAGTTTAGAAAACAGACTTTTAGCAGGAAAAAAAAATGGCTTACCCAGGATCACACAGCTAGTAAGTGATTAAGGTCAGATTGGAATTTACATCTTCAGGACTCCAAAAACAGTGTTCTATCCATTGCACCACCCCAACTACCAAGCTGTCTCTAGTCTGACTTCTAAACCTAAAATCACAGTACCTTTTGGAGTCTGTTACCTCACACAGCTGGTTCCTATTAAGATTAAGCATTAAAACCCCTAGGTTTGGCCTCTCCTCTCCAGCTGGGCTAATCTTCTCCCCATTCTAAGAAGCTCCCCCCCCCCCCCAGCAGTCCATGCTCACACACAGTCCTTCCCACCTGGATATCCTCTCCCACTTTCATCCAAAGACTAAAGCTTCAAAGACAGGCTTCTTTTGCTAAGAGAAGTGATGTCCAAGTACTTTTAAAGAGATGGCCTCTGACAGAGACAGAGTAATTCCTTCACTCCCTCACCTCTATCCAAGGAACCCTCCATGATTCCAGATGATATCCTCCCATACCATGGCCATTACTGACCACACACCTCATGACCCAATGTTTTTATTTTAACTCCATCTGTTGTTCAAGCAGGGGTCTCCAGGTTCTGTCTTGGCAGCCCCCCAATCTATGCCAGTCTAGAAACACCAGCATCCCCAGCGTGAGGAGCACCAGGCCAACCAGACCCATATGAAGGAAGTAGTTTAGTGTAATCCTGGGGAGTGAAGCCTGGAGGCACAGATGGGACTGCTCAGATCCATGAGTATAGCTCCATGAGTACTGGGGAACCAGGATATCTGGCTACATGCATCTTTAAGGGATATAGGCAGCTGAGAGGAGAGAGGCAGATGCCTGGCTCTGTTTCAGTTAGGGTTAGGGTTGGGAGCCAGAAAGAGTTGACAGGTTCCCAAAACAGTTGTGGGAGGACACCTGGCTACAGGAGGGATTCAGAAGAAAAAGAAGGGCTAGAGGATAAGATGCCTAGATACCAAAAGAGGTCTAAGGCCAGCATATGGGATACTAGGGACCCTGAGAAGTCTATGGAGCAGGAAACATGGTTTCATGAAGGGGTTAGAGGGTTAGCATTCAAGTTTATGGGGACCCTCACCTGACCAGCTGATGAGCAAAGGGTCCCTTTTCTGAGCACAGAGCTATGGAGCAGAGGTAATATGGTAACAGTAACTGGGATGCCAGCCTGAGGGGCCTTGAAGGGGAAAGTCAGCCCAGGGCTGGACAGAGCTGAGGGACTGAAAGGGGTCCTGGGAAGCTCACAGGATGAAGAGCAAAGTTCCTTCCTCTCAGCTGGCCATGGCAGTGTAGGCTTACATTGGTGCCTGCCCCCACCACAGTATTTGGCATTCCCACTAGCCAGGGCTTAGGCAAGACTGCTTGAGAAGGAAAGGGGGTTTTAGGTGCTTCTCCATCCCTGCTCCTCTGTCTCTTTGACCCTCCAGTTCTGTCCCCCAACCCCTAATTGTTTGATTCTTTTTCCTTCTCAGTATCTTCATGTCCCAATGTGGGGTGACAGAAAAAGCCTGACTTAGGAATCAAAAGTCTGAGGCTCCAGTTACAGCTCTATTCCTGATGTTCTGGGTGATCTCAGGCAAATGATTTACCCTCTCTGGGAACACAAGTTCTTCATCTGTAAAACAAGCTTAGACTGGATCTCTGCTGCCCCTTCCAACTGGAACATCTGTGCCTCAAATATTCCGTGTATGTCTCTGCCTTAGTATCTGACTTTGATTGTCTTGCTGTCTCTCTGAGCATCAATTTATCCACTAAGGGATGACGGAGTTGGGTTCCTTCTCTAAGGGCCCTTCCAGAGCTGAAGTTTTTACATTTTAAGTAGTGACAGGAGCTGCTGTGAATATGAAATCCCCTCTTTCCCATAAGAGCCCCTTAAAATAGTGGAAAACCACAATCATTGTCACCCTGCCCCACCACAGCCTCCACGGATCTCTTCTGCATCCTAAAGATCACCTCTCCTGAGCTTGATTTCCCATAGTATCACCATTCTCGTAACCCCTTTGGGACAGATCTCAGCTTATTTGTGCCAATGCTCATGCCCGTGTAGAACTGAAATCCAGACTTCTTGATCCTGAGAGAAGTCAGAGCGCTTCCTTCCTCCCATCCTACATACCTCCCCACCACACAAAAGCACACATTACTCTGCATGCTGTCTGATCAAGGCAGAGACTCAGTTTTCTTCATGACAAGATAGAGATATGACTCAGCTCTGTACTCTTACTAGGTTAGGTCCCTGTATCTCTGTTTTGAGACAGTCCTTGGGCATAAAGGAGTCCTTCCGGGGAGGATGGAGGGTTCCCCTATTGACCCTTGCTTTCTATAACTAAAGTCACAGGGCCGTACTCCCCAGTGGCGGGGTGGCTGTCAATGAGATAAATCCTTTTCAGGTACCCAACGGATGTCTAAGGAGAGGCCCGTGGGCCAGGCAGAGACTTCAAACAACTCTTTCATGAATTCCAATGCTGAGAATACCATGTAAGACCACGGGAATCAGATCAATGCCAAGTTTTATTGAAAAATGGGGAAGAGGGATAAAAAGAGAACAAGAAGAGGCCCCCATTTCCAATTCAGATACACTCACTAACATAGAGGATAACACATGGGAGCAGCACTGTGTTGGGAAGCACAGAGACCTGGGTGCATTCTGCAGGAAGGGGGATGCTCCAGGGGGAAGGGATGTTCCTGCTGGAGGTGAGGAGGTGCTTCAAATGCCCTTCTGAGAGTGGAATTCTTATACAGGCAGTTCTTGTTTTACGTAAAACTGAATTACACAAATTGAACTTGATATAAAGATTTCAGAAAGAATTCTACATTCCAAAAAAACCACCTGTATTAACTTCATTATACAGTACTGTGCCCTGCTCTTCCTCCACTACAGTGCTTCAAGGCCTCCCATCTCCCACCTCCACCCCCACTCCCAATGAAAACAACCCCCAAAAAGAAAAACTAAAAAAAAAATCCCTCCAAGTGAAATCAGAAGAACTGCACAGAGACCAAGTCTGCTGCTGATGCCTGCTCTGGATTGGAGGCTTGGCTTGAGACCTCAGGTGCAGAGAGAGGAGGCCTTTGCCCCACTCCAGCAGGTCTGTTTCCATCCACCCACTCCAGGGTCCACAAGTCTGTCCCTGGCCCGAAGTGTTTCTCCTCCTGTTCTTACTTCTCCATCTCAGCCTCCAAGGATGGCCAGGTCCCCTTCCTGCCTCCCTTCCTCCCTCACCTAAGCAGGCAAATTCACCTTAAGTAAAGTGTGTATGTAGAGATCTGCAGAACAGGGTCCATTTTTGCTTAAATAAATGGAGACATGTAGGTACAGTAGTCTGATCTGAGATGTTCACCCTGCTGGCCAATTAGCATATCAGGGGTCAGGGCAAAATATAACTGGGAGGGTTTGTCAACAAGGAGAAAAATGATCTGGTGGCAGACAAAATATTCACTGGGGCATTGGGGCACACAGCTACTAACCTTTGAAAAATGTTATTGTCAGTATTTTTCCGTGAGTATGAGTATGTTCTTACTCTCCCTCAAGGAGAGACCATTATTGTGGCCTCAAGACCATCAGGCCTAATCTTATAACAATGGTTTCTATAAACTCCAGCCTCCCATAAGGGGAAACTGTCATGGGTGCCTCAAGACCACCAGACCCAAACTTATAACAATCTCCTTTCCCATTCCCCTGCTTCACCTATCACTCACACCTCTAGGGAGTCACTAAGAGGCACGGATCTGGTAGTAGCAGCTGTAACTGCCCCCACAAGAAAGGGTCAATCATATTTTCTTTTTTTTTTCTTTTTCTTTTCTTATTTATTTATTTTTAGTTTTCAACATTCACTTCCACAAGATTTTGAGCTCCAAATTTTCACCCCATCTCACCCCTCCCCCCACCCCAAGATGGCATGCATTCTGAATACCCCTTCCTTAGTCTGCCCTCTCTTCTGTCTCTCCCCCCCCTTCTCTTCTCCCCTTCCTCTTCTATTTTCCTGTAGGCAGATAAATTTCTGTACCCCATTGCCTATATTTCTTATTTCACAGTTGCATGTGAAAACATTTTTTTAAATATGTGTTTTTAAAAATTTGGGTTCCAAATTTTCTCCCTTCCTCCCTCACCACCCACCCCCACTGAAAATGCAAGCAATTCAATATAGGTTACACGTGTTCAGTTATGCAAAACACTTCCATACTAGACATGTTGTGAAAAACTAACTCTATTTCCCTTAATCCTATTCTGCCCCACCATTTATTCTATTCTTTCTTTTGACTCTGTTCCTCCTCAGAAGTGTTTCCTTCTGATTACCTCCTCTCCCCATCTGCCCTCCCCTCTATCATCCCCCTGCTCTCTTGTCCCCTTCCCTCCCCCCTATTTTCCTGTAGGGTAAGATAGATTTCCATACCCAATTGAGTATGTATGTTATTCCCTACTTAAGCCAAATCTGATGAGAATAAGATTCACTCATTCCCTCTCTCCTTCCCCTGTTTCCCCTCCACTGGAAGAGCCTTTTCTTTTCTGTTTCTTATGAGATAATTTACCCCATTCTATCTCTCACTTTCTCCTTCTCCCAGTATAAATCCTCTCTCACCACTTAATTTTACTCTCCAGATATCACCCCTTCATCTTCACCTCACCCTGTGCCCTCTATCTATATCTATATCTATATCTATATATACAGATACACATACATATAATTTTTTTTCCCTCCAGCTACCCTAATACTGACAAAGGTCTCATGAGTTACAAATATCATGTTTCCATGTAGGAATGTAAACACTTCAACCTTAATAAGTCTCTTATGATTTCTCTTTCCTGTTTACCTCTTCATGTTCCATTTCAGTCTTGTATTTGAAAGTCAAATTTTCTATTCAGCTCTGGTCTTTTCATCAAGAAGGCTTGAAAGCCCTCTATTTCACTGAATGACCATTTTTTCCCCCTGAAGCACTATACTCAGTTTTGCTGGGTAAGTGATTCTTGGTTGTAATCCCATCTCCTTTGCCCTCAAGAATGTTATATTCCATGGCCTGCAGTCCCTTAATGTAGAAGCTGCTAAATCTTGTGTTATCCTTGGAACTGTGAGGAGGATTCCCTCTCCACAGCCACTACAAGCTCCACCATGCCAGTGCTCCTCCTTGCCCCAGGACCACCACCCAGAACTATAATGCAAATCCAAGCATGGGCAAGCAAGAGAATCCTACACCAGCAGAGAGATCCCTGCAATCCCCGCTGATCAGCCACTTGATTCCCCCTCAGTCATTGGACCAGAAGCTCAGGAGGCAGCCGCAGCCCCAGGGCCATGCTCAGGGCCTGGGGATGAGACCTAGCTTCTCTCTCACCACAGACACAGACTTTTTCCCACTGACTTTTTAAGTTGTCTTTGGCATTTGTGGGTTGAGAAATCTGGAAACTGCCACAGTTGCCCATGATTCAGTCCTCTAAGGCCTGCTCCAGGTTTGCTGTGGCCTATGCACCCATGCCTAACTGTGTTCCTCTCCCACCCCACAATATACCTTTCTGATCAATCATCTACTTTGTCTTGGCCTTGAAATTTGTTTCACTCTGTCTTTTTGTGGGTTCTGCTGCTTTAGAATTTGTTTAGAGCCATTTTTTACAGGTATTTGGATGGGTTTGGGGGAGAGCTCCAGCAAGTCACTGCTTTTACTCCCCCATCTTGGCTCTGCCCCGTCAATCATCTTTTCAAAGAAGATCTCAACTCCTGCCTCTTAGCATTCCTGGATTTCCCACTTTGTACAAGAAGAATGCCATGCCTGGAACTGAAGCTCAGCACCCCAAAGTTCTGATCCCCCCTGGGGCCAATACAGGATCTGGCCTAGCACTGAGGATGTATTTGGGGTAAGATCTCCCCTAGGAAAGAGAATTTGGAGGAACGCAATCAGTAATCCTTGGCCCCATAGGCCTCAGGGAGCCTGGGTTTGGGGTGAGAAGCCCTCTTTGCACCTCAGGTTCCCCATCTGTAAAGTGGATCAGTTGAAATCAACGATCTTTCTCCCCTTCTTATTCCTAGGAACTCAGAAGAGGGGGGAAGGAATAGGGCAAAATTCCAGTGGGGTGAAGGTAAAAAATAGGGAATGGGACACAGGGACAAGCTGAATACCTGGTTCCTAGAAGGTATCAGAGGCTGAAATGATTCAAAGGAAAATCAGAGGCAGAGGAGGAAGAGGGATGGGGTGAATACATTTACTCCTCAAGGGATATGCCCCTATACCCTACAGTGACCATGAAAGACAGTCATCTCCCAGTCTTCAGTCCCTGGCCCCCCATCACACTAGGCATCTGGCACTCTGGGTCACCACCCCCTGAATAACCTACATGTCTTCCTTGCAATCTGAGGCCCTCTTCTGCCTCTGTTCCCCTAGAGACCCCAGATGTCCATCCTACCAGCCCTCTTATCCAGGAGCCCACCTATCCTGGCCCCTGCTTCCTTCACTCCTTGTGGACTGGAGAGGCAGTAAGAATGAAGAGGGGGTCTAGATGAACTCACAGAGGCTCTGGAGTAGGAGAAGGGATGAGACCAGGGTCATGGCTGGTGGATGCAAATAGTTGGACAGACTAGAAGGAGGTTAGGCAGTGTCAGGCCCCTTGATGACCCCTCCCTTTCTGCCCCTCAAGAAACGAGCCATTGGAAACATAAAGCCATAGCCCTGCCTGGCTCAGGTTTCCTATCGGCTAAGCTTCAGGAGCTTAGACATCATCCCATTATACTCCTGCATTTTTCAAAGGAAGAACCTCAGCCCCAGAGAAGGGGAGAAGCTTGTTCAAGGTTACACAGAGATGCAGAGATCAGAAGGGAGAGAATCACAAGATGTCAGTTAGAAGGGACAACAGTGGCCATTTAGTCTGGTCCATACCTGAGCTGGTGGCTCAGTGAATAGCACACTGGGCCTGAAGTTAGGGAGGCATTGTTATTCAGTCGAGTCCCACTCTTTCGGACCCCATTTGGGGTTTTCTTGGCAAAGATTTACCATTTCCCTCTTCAGCTCATTTTACAGATAAGGAAACTGAGTTAAATAATTGACCCAGGTTCAGTGTCTGAGACCAAATTGGAACTCATGAAGAAGAGTCTTCTTAACTCCAGGCCAAGTCTTCTATACACCGCACCACCTGGCTGGGGTTGAGTTCTCCAAATTAAATTGAATGTTTATACTCATCTGCTGATATACAACTCACATTGCTCTACTCTGGAAATGACCGACTGCCTACCTACAGCCAATCAGGCCAATGTTCTTACACCCTAGTCTGAACTCTAAGCAATGTAACCTCAAGAAGATTTGAGGAAGGAGCCATGCCTTTCTCCAGCCTTCTCCTTTGCCAAATAAGCTAATAAAGTCCCTTTCTAAAACTATTTCCAGTTAGGGGGTTTGTTCTGAACTAACAACAGCCACACACATGCACACATTTACACACACACATGCATACATATATGTGTGTGCACGTATGCATACACACATGCACACACGCATTTACACATTTACATACACAAACACACACTACCATGACCACCATCAGAATGATCCCCTGCAGGACCCAAGGCCCCAAAGTCTCAGGCTTTGTGTGACATCCCCCTAGAGGAGAA